CTCAGGGAAAAATCCCTACCTGGGGAAACAACCTTTCTCGGAGAGGTGACCTTGGTTAAAACACATGGCGCTTAAGGAGAGCAAACATATTAAGAACAATATGCTATATATGTCAGGTCCCTTGAAACATGTGCTGTGCAGATGTTTCTTTCCTGCAGCGACTGTGTCAAGCAGCAAGGATGGACCGGCTCCCAGCAGGGTAAGACAATAATTGTTTTTAAATGTTCTTCTATAACAGCAATTTTCAACCGATGTGCCACAGGAATTTTTAAAACAGACAATACCTGACGATTTAGTCAGGGGCACTGACCTCTTTTCCCTTAGCTTGTCAAATTAAAAAATGACAACAGCCAATACAACAATAGCCTTTCGGTGTGAATAAATCAAAATTATACCTATTTTTTTGTCAGATCAGCAAAAAATATAATTAGTGTGCTGTAGAATTTTAGCAATTAGTTTATGTGTGCCACGAGATGAAAAGGGCTGAATTCAAACACAGTGTCTAATGTCCATGTTCTATTTTGTTATCTACCTATTTGCTTGTCTATCCCTCCATCCATCCACCCATCCATCCCTCCCTCATCCATCCCTCCCTCCATCCATCCACCCATCCATCCCTCCCTCATCCATCCCTCCCTCCATCCATCCACCCATCCATCCCTCCCTCATCCATCCCTCCCTCCATCCATCCACCCATCCATCCCTCCCTCATCCATCCCTCCCTCCATCCATCCACCCATCCATCCCTCCCTCATCCATCCCTCCCTCCATCCATCCACCCATCCATCCCTCCCTCATCCATCCCTCCCTCCATCCATCCACCCATCCATCCCTCCCTCATCCATCCCTCCCTCCATCCATCCACCCATCCATCCCTCCCTCATCCATCCCTCCCTCCATCCATCCACCCATCCATCCCTCCCTCATCCATCCCTCCCTCCATCCATCCACCCATCCATCCCTCCCTCATCCATCCCTCCCTCCATCCATCCACCCATCCATCCCTCCCTCATCCATCCCTCCCTCCATCCATCCACCCATCCATCCCTCCCTCATCCATCCCTCCCTCCATCCATCCACCCATCCATCCCTCCCTCATCCATCCCTCCCTCCATCCATCCACCCATCCATCCCTCCCTCATCCATCCCTCCCTCCATCCATCCACCCATCCATCCCTCCCTCATCCATCCCTCCCTCCATCCATCCACCCATCCATCCCTCCCTCATCCATCCCTCCCTCCATCCATCCACCCATCCATCCCTCCCTCATCCATCCCTCCCTCCATCCATCCACCCATCCATCCCTCCCTCATCCATCCCTCCCTCCATCCATCCACCCATCCATCCCTCCCTCATCCATCCCTCCCTCCATCCATCCACCCATCCATCCCTCCCTCATCCATCCCTCCCTCCATCCATCCACCCATCCATCCCTCCCTCATCCATCCCTCCCTCCATCCATCCACCCATCCATCCCTCCCTCATCCATCCCTCCCTCCATCCATCCACCCATCCATCCCTCCCTCATCCATCCCTCCCTCCATCCATCCACCCATCCATCCCTCCCTCATCCATCCCTCCCTCCATCCATCCACCCATCCATCCCTCCCTCATCCATCCCTCCCTCCATCCATCCACCCATCCATCCCTCCCTCATCCATCCCTCCCTCCATCCATCCACCCATCCATCCCTCCCTCATCCATCCCTCCCTCCATCCATCCACCCATCCATCCCTCCCTCATCCATCCCTCCCTCCATCCATCCACCCATCCATCCCTCCCTCATCCATCCCTCCCTCATCCCTCCCTCCCTCCATCCATCCATCCCTCCCTCCATCCATCCCTCCCTCCAGCCTAACCACTTTAAGGAGGTCCAACCTTCTAAGGCAAAAATAAAAGGCCAGCGATGTTAGTTCTCAGCATCTGTGCTGCCCAAGGCAGGTTGCAATGATGATAATGTTCCCCCCTTTGAAGCCATGTGAATCTCCACAAAGCACCACTTGACAGATACTTTAACGGTGGGTCATGCAGGCCCTGGGGGGCAGGTGGCAGAGGACAAAGAGGGCGCTGGTGCTCCTACAATCGCACCACAGGCCAGGAGCTTCCTGCCCCACCGGTTTATCACAATGTCCCAAACTCAGTATGACTCAGCTCTGAAACTGCACCTAATCTGATGCTTTATTGAGCGTTTCTACTAAGCAATTTTTAAAATCACTGGCCCTGAGGCAGATCTTCACCCCCGTGTTTTCTTGGTGAGTGGGTTTTCACAGATGTGGCGGCTTTCTTCATTCCTTTCTGAAGACTCGCCTGCTGACAACATTATTCATGGTGTGTTTCTGAAAGCAAAGAGGAGTCTGTTGAGTTGGTAGCTGACCGGTTAAGCCCCTGTGGCCCTACTCCCCAGTCCCGAGAGTCGGGTGCAGATGGAGAAGCTGAGCCCCTCGGGAGGCCTGCTTCAAGTAGGAGCATCTAAAGCAGTGGTTCTCAACCTTCCTAATGCTGAGACTCTTTAATACATTTCCTCATGCTGTGGTGACCCCCAATTTCATTGTTACAAATTGAACATAATTAAAGCATAGTGATTAATCACAAAAACAATATGTAATTATAGATGTGTTTTCCGATGGTCTTAGGCGACCCCTGTGAAAGGGTCGTTCGACCCCCAAAGGGGTCGCGACCCACAGGTTGAGAACCGCTGATCTAAAGAGTCCCATTCGGAGGAAACTCACCGCCACCATTTTCCCGTCTACGATTTGTCTTTTGACTGTTGTCTCCTTGCCAAGCCATTTTTGGACATGGACCAACGAGTCGCCGTCTAACCTTATGATGCTCTATGAATGCATAAAGGAATCAGTTAGAAACAGCAATTCCCTACACTCTAACCGACACAAGATGACACTTTAATTTCTATTTTGAAATTTTTCCTCCCAAATCCTCACCTCAGTTCTTGTTATAATTTAATACTGTCAACTAGAGAAGTCTCCAGGGATTATTCAATTAGCTCCCTCCTCCACCAGGCAGGCGGTACCCAAACGGTTTGTGGAGAATTGTTTTCCTCTATGTGCTTTTAAAATTTTTATTTTTTATTTATATTTTTTTGTTAATTCTCACCTGAGGATATGTCTAAGAGAGTGGAAGGGAGAGAAGGAGGGAGGGATAGAGGCAGAAAGAGAGAGAGAGAGAACCATCCATGTGAGAGAGACACATGGATTGGTTGCCTCTCACATGTGCCCAGACCAAGGATTTATCCAGTTTATTAAAGCACTCACCACGTTTTACCCATTATGTACTAATATGACAAGTATTTTTCATCATAATTAATAATATTCATATAAGTACTGATATGCCTGCATATGATGCCCAGTGCTAAAATAAATTACTATTTTTTTCCTTTTCTTTAAATTTTCTAAAATTTTACATATATCTCCTTTTTCTCTGCTTGACCGCCCCCTCCTCAAACCCCTCCATTGCCACCCCGGGCAAGCCCCCACTGCCCCAGTGTCTGTGTCCATTGGTTATGCTAATATGCATGCATACAAGTCCTTTGGTTGCTCTCTAACCCCCCCACCGACAGCAAAGAGAGATCAGGAAAAAAGTGAAAGCAGGTTAGTTTTGGCCCTGTCAACCATCAGAATCATTTGCAAAAGATTGACTTTGGCCCTAGGTGGTTTGGATCAGTGGATAGAGCATCGGTCTGTGGGCTGAAAGGTCCCAGGTTCGATTCTGGTCAAGGGCACATGCCCAGGTTGCGGGCTTGATCCCCAGTGGGGGGCGTGCAGGAGGCAGCCAATCAATGATTCTCTCTCATCGTTGATGTTTCTATCTCTCTCTCCTTCTCCCTTCCTCTCTGATTAAAAATATAATTTAAAAAATATTGACTTTGGAGATGTGCAACATTAATGGGCACCACAGGGTCATCAATCAGATTAGATATGAATGAACCTCACCCAACCACCTTCTAGGTTTTTCCTGATTGGAAAGACCAGGACGATTTGGTTCTTACCTTCACTTTCCGGCCGTCCGCTGTGGTTTCGTCAAACTCTTCCCCCAGCTTGAAGGAGATCTCGAAGTTCTTGAAAGAGGTCTCTGTCCTGAGGCTCACCTTGTCCCCATGGGCGCTGATGCAGATCCTGGGCTTCTCCAGGGCGGCCAGGTGCCGGATGGTGCCGGGCACGCCTGCGGGGCAGACACAGCAGCGGCCCTTCTTAAGCCGGTTAGGAGGAAGTGCCAACAGTCATCTTGGCAGCAACGAACTAGTAAAAAGAGTGCGGGCTCCCACGGAAGTTGCGGGAGCTGGGCGGCGATTTCTCCCATTTCTCCCATTCTCTCTAGGCCTGCCCTGCAGGCTGGATGGAGCCAGACCCACCCGCCCACCTGGAGCCTGTCTGGGAATTACCGGGTCGTTTTGCAGAGCCAGCTTCACTTCCTGAGCCTGTGCTTCGTCTAAAACAGTATTTGACGGGGCCTCCGAGGGGATCAGATGCGGGGTGGGGTGTTGTGACCCTCATTTCAGAGAGGAGGACACGGTGTCCCCGAGAGGTCGGGAGGCTCATGCTAGGTGACGTGTCTGGTGAGTAGCAGAGCAAAACTTAAACGCAGGTTTTCTAATTGTTCAAGGACTTTAGAGAAGCAGACTCAGCCGAAGCCGCTGCCGCAGCCCCCGTGCCCCAGCAGGAGGAGGCCAGGGACAAAGGTGACCGGCAGCCTGCAGGACCACCCAGCTTTCTGGGCTCACCCCCATGGCCAATGGAGAGCCTGGTGACTCCAAGTCGGCCCCAAACTGGGACCCACCCCCGTGTCCACCATCAGTAGAATGGACAACTAGGCTGCGTGCGTGCATGCAATGGGAGATGACACTGCACTGAAAACGAGCGAACCCCTGCTCCCGGCCACTGGACGGATCTCACACGTGATGTTGAGTGAAAGGAGCTGACACAAAAGGACGCGCTTTCTTCGAGAGGTGCCCGGGGCCAAGGGACTGAGGATTCCGCTACGGCCGGTCTCCCCCTCCTCCCCGGCAGAGGCCCCGTCTGGGGAGGCTGAGGCCCAGGTCTGGCCCGTGGTCGTGGTGGGAGGTCAGTGCTGACCCTCCCTTTCCCGGGCCTGACCTAGGGAGACCCCCAGGGGAGGCTTTCGCAGAGAACAGAGACATCCTCGAGGCTCAAAAGCTGGCCGCTTGTCTTCTTGATGAACCCCGGGTCATGAAGACAAATCTAACCGCCCTGTCTGCCGACACTTTGCCCCAAAAGGCCCCTGTTGGTGGGAGGACCTCTGTGCCTTCTGCCACCCAGGCGGCAGCATTGCCCCTCTGTGACACTGTGCCTTCGCGCCACCTGGAGGCAGCCCTGGGGACCTAGCGGCCATGCATTTCCCGGTAGCCCTGGGACAGCTGCTGTGAGGCCGTTCCACCCACCGCCCTCAGTCCGCAGCACCCACCCCATCCACCACCTCCCCATTTGGGGTCCAGAGCTGTGTCTCATCACTGGGTGAGGTGGGCACTCTTTCTGCTGATCCGGCCTCCAGAGCCTCGCCTTCAGGCCCCATCTCTGCTCCCTCGGCTGCCTCCTGGGTCCTCCCCCCCTCGCCTATGACTGCCGAGCAGGAGAAGGACTGGGTGCGGTCACTGGGTGCTGTCTCGGGCGTCTGTCCAGCAGCACCGGTGCTGCCCTCAATCCTGAGCCTGGAGCAGTTTCCCCCAGCCCTTTGGCTGCTTGTCTCAAGTCCCTCCATGTGTGAGCCCTTCCCCTACCCTCACCCCCCATGTTGGCAGCTGCCCTGAGGAACTCCCAGGTTTCTGGCCTGGGGTCAAGTTTGGATGACGGGGCAGCGTCCCTTCCTGACTCCCTGCTCTTCGATCCCGTCGTTTCGCCGTCAGTAGCACGGCCCCCACCGCTGCGGCCTGTGATCGCCGGGGCATGTCTGCGGCTCCCCCACTGCAGTGCTGCTGCCAAAACCAGTGAGGCTCTTGGTGCCTCTCGGCTCTCCCCACCCCAACAAGGGAGCACTGGCAACTTCCCGCGAGACTGCCTCCCTGGCCCCCCATTCTTCTGGTGTTGCTTTTTCTGGGTTTGACCCTGGCCCATGAGGTGTGCGCTAAACCCTCTGGTGGGCCTACCCTCTTCCTCCACAGCTGTGTTCCTTAGACCACGTCCCTGGGAGGCCACGGGCCTTCCGTGGAATTCTGTGATCTCCACCTGGACAGTCCTGCACCCTCTCCCCACTTCCGTCCCTGTGTCACTGGCACTGGTTGTTTTCTGTGAAAACCGCAGTGAGCAGACTCAGTCTCGAACTGGCCCTGAGGACATGGGTCAGGAGTTGTGTGGGCAAGAGGAGGGTGAGAGCTGTTGGAGAACTGAAAATGAATTTTAACATTTCTTATCTACACTAATAAAAGAGAAACATGGTAATTAGCGTACGACCACTACCCTTCCCATTGGCTAATCAGCATATCCTTATGCAAATTAACTGTCAGCCAAGATGGCGGCCGGCAGCCAGGCAGCTGGAAGCGAACATGAGGCTTCCTTGCTTCAGTGACTGCAGACTCCAACGTTCCCCGCCTCACTTGCCGGCCTCTGAGTTGCAACTCTAAGCAACTATGTACTATGTTGCAAATGTAGTAGCTAAACAAAACCCCAGAAACCAGCTTTCAGCCTGCCGGGATCTCAGAGCTGAAGTTATACATTGTTTCGATTATAGAACGGCAAACAAACCAGATACAAAGCCTCAGAGCTAGAGCCAGAGCTAAAGCTGGCCCAGAATAAAATAAAAAAAGAGAAAAAAAAGGAGCGGTTGGGAGCTTCAGTCAACAACCGCCAGCCTGAAAGCAGCCCTCAGCCCCTCACCCAGACTGGCCAGGCACCCCAGTGGGGACCCCCACCCTGAAGGGGGTGTGACCAGCTGCAAACAGCCATCATCCCCTCATCCAGGCTGGCCAGGCACCCCAGTGGGGACCCCCACCCTGAAGGGGGTGTGACCAGCGGCAAACAGCAATCATCCCCTCATCCAGGCTGGCCAGGCACCCCAGTGGGGACCCCCACCCTGAAGGGGGTGTGACCAGCGGCAAACAGCAATCATCCCCTCATCCAGGCTGGCCAGGCACCCCAGTGGGGACCCCCACCCTGAAGGGGGTGTGACCAGCGGCAAACAGCAATCATCCCCTCATCCAGGCTGGCCAGGCACCCCAGTGGGGACCCCCACCCTGAAGGGTGTGTGACCAGCTGCAAACAGCCATCATCCCCTCATCCAGGCTGGCCAGGCACCCCAGTGGGGACCCCCACCCTGAAGGGTGTGTGACCAGCTGCAAACAGCCATCATCCCCTCATCCAGGCTGGCCAGGCACCCCAGTGGGGACCCCCACCCTGAAGGGTGTGTGACCAGCTGCAAACAGCCATCATCCCCTCATCCAGGCTGGCCAGGCACCCCAGTGGGGACCCCCACCCTGAAGGGGGTGTGACCAGCTGCAAACAGCCATCATCCCCTCATCCAGGCTGGCCAGGCACCCCAGTGGGGACCCCCACCCTGAAGGGGGTGTGACCAGCTGCAAACAGCCATCATCCCCTCATCCAGGCTGGCCAGGCACCCCAGTGGGGACCCCCACCCTGAAGGGGGTGTGACCAGCTGCAAACAGCCATCATCCCCTCATCCAGGCTGGCCAGGCACCCCAGTGGGGACCCCCACCCTGAAGGGGGTGTGACCAGCTGCAAACAGCCATCATCCCCTCATCCAGGCTGGCCAGGCACCCCAGTGGGGACCCCCACCCTGAAGGGGGTGTGACCAGCTGCAAACAGCCATCATCCCCTCATCCAGGCTGGCCAGGCACCCCAGTGGGGACCCCCACCCTGAAGGGGGTGTGACCAGCAATTTTTGTGCACCGGGCCTCTAGTATTAGTAATAAATGCAGTGGAAACAACAAAAAAAGAATTTTAATACACTACTTTTTCTTTAAAATATCAAGAAACTGGAGGCCTGAAATTCGTGCAAGGGGCTCGGCCCCCGCCATGGCCGTGGCCCAGGCCACTGCAGCTTCATCTGGAAGGACGTCCAACGATGCACGAAATTCGTGCAAGGGGCTCGGCCCCCACCATGGCCGCGGCCCAGGCCACTGCAGCTTCATCTGGAAGGTCGTCTGGAAGGACGTCCCGTCTAATTAGCATAATGCGCTTTTATTATTATAGATACAAATTTCAAAGCACCTACACTGTACTAAAAGAACATGACCTAAAGTCCAAGGTCCTGTCTCAGTGCAGGTTCAGTCCCATCTGGCCGAGGGAAGAGGAGGTGGCAAACCAGACCAATTGGCTGAGAAGCTGGCCCTGCTGTTCAGGTTAGGACTGTCCATCATCATACATGACCCTGCAGGAGGCGGCAAAGAGCTGACGCCACACCCAGTGTTGATATCAAACTCATTTCACATTCAGACTGTGGGAGGACAAGACTGGTCAGACTGCCGGGAGCAGTGCCGGCCCTGGTCAGAGGAGGGCAGGGTGAGTGGTTAAAGCCGGGCTCCAGCACACAGCCTGGGCTCATTATCTCAGTAGTCAAATGCACACAAGTATGGGCCTTACCTCACAGGTGTGTGGGAGATGAAGTGGGAGGGCTTGGATGCTAAGTGGCACATAGTAGGTGCTCGGCTGTACGCTCTCTTGCCTCTGCCTAAGCCCAGCTCCCAATCAGCACAAATGCTACTCTTGCCAGAAGCCCCCAGTTTCTTAGATGCCCCAAAATGTAAACACAAAGCAGATGAGTCTATGAATCCATGAAGAGATAGGGAAACATGTTTCTTATTAGTCCCTGAGAAGTTAATACTGATCATGCGAGAGAAACAAAGATTACATTATGAACACATTGACTTCTTACGATGCATTGATTATTTCAGCCAACTTTTAAAAATTAGGTTAAAAAGTTCTTGATTTTTATACACAGTTTGTTATTTCAAGGGAGGTTTCTCTTAATTATTTAAAATTACTAAATTAAATAGTAAATAATTACTGTTCTTCTAGCATTAGTAAAGAATAGTTTAGTTGCTACAGACCCGAGCCACTTTATAGATGTTTATGCAACGTGGATAAGAGTGCAACAGTGGGTAGAGTTTACACTTCTGAAAAGTAGCCAATGGTGAGACATTTAATGAGAAAAAATGTTCCATTTTCCCAATAAAAAAATTTGAAATTCTTCAAAATAATATTTTGAAAATATCTTCCACAGGTATCAGAACTCTAAAAATTAACCAACTGAAAACTTTGTTGTTATTGCTCTTTTGAAGTTATAACTTAAAGCAAACCTTGAAACAAATTTAGTTGATAAATTTAATTATAGATAGTTATTAGTGTCCATACATTTGAAGCTGGGAAAAGCTATTTGATGAAATGATCAAGCTAAAGAGAAACTTTATCAAGGGGTTATTTCCAAAATATTTTGAAATATTTTCATAAAGAATATATGGACTTAAATATATGGATGATGACTAGAAGGAAATATAGGTGAGTCTTGTAGTCCCAAAAGAGACAATTATTACTAATAATAGAAAAAGCAGAAGTAGCTACATAAACTTGGTTAATCTCATGTGAACATACCTTAGGACCACAAACGAAAGAGAGAACTGTAAGAACACGCATGGTGAAGTACAATCCCAGCCCCATCACAAGAGCATGGCCAGTTTCCAAACCTTGCACTGGTATTTCTCACCCAGTTGTTCCAAGTATTCCTCGAAGTTCTCACTGGATTCCAGTTTCCAAGTTCCCAAGAAGGGCTCGACCATGATGGAGAGCTTGCTGAGAAGAGTCACCCACAACCAGAAGCCAAGAAACATGGGCAATCCAGTGCTCCCCACATCTTCATTTACAAGGCACCTTCGTCATGTGACTTCTGAAGTGGCCAATGGGCAGCAGCAAGACCAGAGAGTCTGGGCACTGGCGCGGACTCATTTTATCTACCTCCAAATTAAAGTGCAGAAAATTAACATGTCAGTTGAATTTAGACCAACAATTATAGCTTCTAGCAAAGAGATTTATACGCCAGGGTCACCTGATATATATAGCTTGAGAACTGGAAACAATTTTCAATAGAGATCAGCCTTTTGAATGCATGCCTAGTCAACTCCGAAGGAATCTCCTGGCACTGTCTAAGGAACACCTGGCTGAGGTGTTTTCCCACCTGATACAAGGACATCCTTGCTTGGCTGCACCTGAGGTGTTTTTTGTTTGCACGCTGCCTGAGAACTCTCTTCATTAAAATAATATCTGCCGCTCCCTTCTTTGAGGGTTGATGAACCGATAGTAGTTAATGTAACTGAAATATCTACACTTGCTTGGAGTGAGGTGTGGGCTATTATTAATATTATCATTGTTCTTCATCAAGAGTAATTGTTGACTGGAAGGAAAAGTAACAATTATCATTGATTAGTGTTCTGTGATTTAAGCTCAGAAAGGGAAGTAGAGCTAATGTTCGGAAAATTCATTTTTTTAGGCTTACAAAGTAAGCTCGGTGTTAAAATATACCACTTGAAATTGTGAGGGAAAGTTTTTCAGAGAAATACAGTGGGGCCTTGACTTACGAGTGTCCCGACTAACGAGTTTTTCAAGATACGAGCTGTCTCTCGGCCGATTTTTTGCTTTGAGTTGCGAGCTAAAATTTGGGTTATGAGCCAGCTTCAGATACCCCACTGCTAGTTGGCGCAGTGAACACCACAACATCAGCCCAGCATCACGAGTCTCACTCATTCACTTTAAGATTTGACATACGAGTAATTTGAGTTACGAGCTCCGTCACGGAACGAATTAAACTTGTAAGTCAAGGCCCCACTGTACAGTATTTGGATACATGCATTCTGAAGACAAAGGAGCAAGTGATTTAAATCTTTATGCAGTGTGTCTGAAAGCATCTTCTGTAACCCAAATAATGGAAGTGGACCTGTGGGTATCTACACTAATAAAAGATAAACATGCAAATTGACTGTACATTTGCTATGCCTTAAGCCACGCCCACCAGCCAATCAGAGCGACTATATGCAAATTAACCCTACCAAGATGGCGGCCAGCAGCCATGGAGCTGGAGCAAGTAGAAGGCTTTCTTGCCCCAGTGATGGAGGAAGCCAAGCTTCCCACCTGCTGCAGCCGGCTCTGAGTTCCACTCAAGGCAACAAAGTTTCAATTATAGAAGATAAATAAACCCCAGATACCTGCTTTCAGCAGGCCGTGGCCACGGAACTGGAGCGAGCAGGAGGCTTGGGTTTTCCCTGGTGATGGAGGAAGCCAAGCTTCCCGCCTGCCACGGCCAGCTCTGAGCTCCACTCAAGGCTACAAAGTTTCAATTATAGAAGGTAAATAAATCC